TGATGGAGATACCAATCTTAGCATTTTATAGTCATGCCTCTCTATTATACTCTGACTTCCTAAAAAAAAACCCTCCAATTTTTAAAATTGAGGGGCAGCTAGGTGCCACAGTAGCTAGAGCACTGGTCCTGAAGTCAGGAGGACCTGATTTCAAATTCGGTCTCAGACCAAACGCTTGACACTTACTAGCCGTGTAACCCTGGGCAAGTCACTTAATCCCAATTGCCTAAAAATAATTTTTAAAAAACTTTAAAAAAAATTTAAAATTGAATAATGAAATGGTCATGATGATTTAGGTGATACACTTTGGCTAAATATGGACCTTGACCCAGAATCAAATACTTTGTGTGGTCTTAATGAGAATTCAATTTTTCAAAAATATATTTCCCCCCATTATTAAGCAAAAGTAGTATGACATAGTACTTTTGAGTTTTTCATTTTTGGCAAACCTGACAAGAAGGTAAATCAAGAATAATGTGACATAGAAATAGAATTCTGGCAATAGTTTAAGAAATATGTCTTCTCAAAGTCTTCTCCCTGGGAGTAGTCCTGCAATAGTCCAATCTTGTTTCTTAAAATAAAAGCATCACTACATTGATAAATGAAGAATATTCAGTAAGGATGACATATCAAATGATTGATTTAAAGACATTTTTAACCTCAGGAAAAAGTTTCAATATGTGTATAATAATCACTTGGTATTTGTGACCCCGGTCTTTGGGGAAGCAAAGGTATTTGGCTTCTGACTGAGAAGACATTCTCTTGTTCATAGAAATGTTCCAAGCTTTGTTTGCAGTTTTCTGGAATGGGAATATTCAGTACAAACAGACCACATTCTGGTTCTGATGATTGTAATTGCACAACCTGGGAAAAAAAGGGGGGGGCATGTGAACCAGCCTTGTGGCCATTAGCTGGTAATTCTTTTCACATAACTCAGCCCGTTTACTGGAGGATAATTAGACGTTATTTCAAACACTTATAGAAACAGACTATTTGATTTAGAAATGAACTTTTAAAAATGTTTGAGTTTTTTTGCTTGTTGTTGCCTTTAATTCTGTTTATTTCCTCTTTATTTCTGTGTTCACAATTGCATTTCTAACAGCAAAGCTGATGGACACCTCCGAGAATGGGTTCCTTTTAAAGCTTGCATTTGAAAATTGGTTGTAGGTAAAGCCTTGATAAAATTGCTAATTTGGCAAAATATTGTATGAATATGACAATTTAAGCTTTGACCTCAAAATTTAAGCTTTGCATGTTGGCATCTTTTTTTTTTAAGAAAAATTAAGTTTGTGATAATATGTGCTTAAAGTAACTTGAGCACAGATAGAATGTGGTAAAATGGAAAATGTACTGGATTTGGAATAAAAGGACTTGTTTTAGAATGCCATCTTTTTCATATATTACCTTTGTGACTCTGAGCACCTCTCTGAGACTCATTTTCCTCAACTGAAAAATGAAGGGTTGTACTAAAAGACCTTTAAGTTCCCATCTAGCTCTAAATCTATGACCCTGTAATTTCTAGGGAAAGAGTACCTTGGGAATTGTTGAAATGTTGAAAGTAATCAGAAACTAGATGTACACTACCAAAATTAAGCAAGAAATTGGACTACAGTCATAAAGTACAGAACTCAGGAAATAGTGGGGATCACAACCACTTGAAAAGAAAGTATAAGAAATATGGTTGATATGAGTGATTTAGAGTATGAGTCAAACAATGCAGTTTCAGTAAGAAACATTTAAGAGGTAAAATCAAAATCAAGGCCTAGCGTTTAATTTTGTTTTTGATTTTGACACTTTAAGGCAAAATTCTGAAGCCCAAGATATTAGGTGGAAGTACTAAATCAAATAAGTAAATGATAGCATATGCTTCATAGCTGTTTAAGTTCTTCTTTTCTTTATGTGATTTAATTTGTTGTAGTGGACCCAAATTTATCTCATCAGATATCACTCTATCAGTTCAGCTATCATGTTTTTCTAGTGTTCTGGGACTGTGACTTCTACTCCTTCTCCTTTATTTCTTTTGGAATTTTGTCAAGCTTTAGATGTTCCTCTGTGCTGGAGGCAGGGGTGTGTGCTAGAGCCAAATAAGGGGCACCAATTCATAAATTTTCTATGTGAGCCTTTACACTTATGAAATGGCAAACTGCAAATTAGGTCTTAGGTTTTTAAAAAATTGTTTTGTTAATTGTCTAGATTTAGGAAAGTAATGGAGACAATATTAATAATACAGAGTAAACTTAAAAGTGTATCCTGAGTATATTTCCCCTCTGCCAACTCCCCCCCGCCAAGAGCTGGTTGTTAAACATTTACGAGTACACCTCTTGTTGGAAGAGTCAGTAAAAAGTTATTTAAGATGTTGAATCCATGCCATAGAAAGCAAAGAGGCAAAGATCTTAACTAGCAAAGAAGGAAAAAGAAACTGGTTTTACAATGAAAAAAAAACCCCCTTAAATATTGAAGTTATGTGTCTTATTATAAACAGAATAAAGGTGTGACACCACAAAGTAGCATATTACATATAAAAATGCAACAGATCATTGCTTAAATTGTCAGGAAAATTATCTGTAAGGACTGTAAAGAACAAAAATGCATTTGGATTCAGACATAGGTTCTTTTTTATTGTATATATTGAAAAACTTATATCATTTAGGCAGATTTCTTTTTCTTTAGTCATAATTGACCAACTTAAAAAATAGCTGTCACAAAATCCTTAAATTAATGTATATTTAAAGCCTCTATCTTTTTTTTTGAGGTAGCTTCCATTTAAATTGAATAAGATTGGTATGTACTAGAAAAAATATTTTTAGTCATTAATACTGCCTATGTAATTTTTATAAAGGATGTCGATATGGTTTAACATACTAAAAAATAAAAAAAAAGAAAAATTAAAAAGAATCTATAGTGATAAATGGTCATTTTCTCAAATTGATACTAGGGGAGAAGTAAAATGAAGAAAAGAATCAATTTCATATACTGGAAAGAACATTTCTATGAAGAGAACCAACTCTGGACATCAGTTTTAATTTCCTGTATTCCTCTGTTTCTCTGTCTCTCTCTCTCTGTAGAATGCTTCATACACTTTGTGTGCATATTTGAGTGATGAAATGCCATAGGCATTGATGTCAGTAATAAGAAACCTATTTCAAAGGGAAAAGAGGAATTAAAATTTATTCATTGTAGTATGTTTGACAAAGCATTATAGTAATAATATTATGTCATTATTATTTAGAATTCTAGAATTTTAAAGCTCAGAAGGACCTTAGAAGTATTATAGTTTAATTCTTTCATTTTACACATGAGGAAATTGATACCCAGAGAATGTGGTAGAGTTGAAAAGTAACCCTGGATTTGGGGTTGGGGTGAGAAGAGAAAGGACCTGGACATAAATGAAAGGACTTGCTAATGCCTCTGTTCCCTAGAGTATGAGTGACACTTCCTCTAGGTCTCAGTTTTCTCTTCTGTGAAATGAGGTGTGTGGAGTTGGTCTGAACTAGCTAACAGGTTTTCCTATTTTCTGGGATAATTTCTGCTCTAAACTAGAAAACCTCTTATATTCCCTTCCAGCTTTAAATCAATGATACACTTCTTTGAAGTGACTTTTCCAAGGTCACACAAATAGTAACAAGCAGTCAGGATTGGATTATAACCCAGTCCTCTTTCGTAAATTTATAATGATTCAAATGAAATACAAGTAAAGGCTCCACATTTTCCATCTATTGCAACAGCCCATAGACGAGCCACAAGGATTGAATGAAAATGATAAGTCTTTGAGATAGATATGTACCCCAAACTGCTATAAAGTTTGAATGAAAAGCACTATCTATTTACAAATCATAACCATTAGAAATCATCAGCAGCTCATATGTAAACACTTCAGGAATTATGTTCAACAAGAATAATATGCCCATCTATAGATAGGGTAGGGGGATGCTACTAATCGAATGAAGAAAATTTAATTCAAAGATTCTGCTATTCATAACTACTAGAATCTTAGACTTAGAGTTTACATGTTTCAGCAATATTCACATGTATATGTATATATATGTTTGCATGTATGTATATTTACATGTGATATATACATATGTATATTACTGGGTACAATATACTGATTTTTTTTCTTTCTTTAGATTGTTTTGAAATAAAGAAAACAGAATCAATTCAGCTAATAATGAATCATTTAGAAATCATAATTGTTCATTATCATATAAGTTTCATGGGATCTTAAATGATCCAAACTTTCCTGCCTTTTTTTGTTAAAGGAATTACCACTCCACCCCCACCCCACCCGTCAATGAACATTATTTTCATTTGCCCTTAGTGGTAGCTTTTTTATTTATGATAACAGTGGTAACTGGAACATCTGAAAAATATGTTCCTTATAAAATGGATCTTCACACATACTCATTCCGACATTTTAATTTGATTTTAAAGAAAGGAGTCCAGGGCATCTGCCAAATCCTTTTATAAGATGTTAGATTCCTTACATTTTAACAAAGCATTCCTTCTCTTCTCCTTTCCACGCCAACACTCTTGTGTTCTGCAACTCATATTCAGAATGTTGCACTGTACCATCTTTAAAACATACAGAAAAAAGAGAAGTGGTAAGGCAGGCTGACTTTGATATGAACAAAAGGAGAAATATGTTGTCTTATTTCTTGTTATATTGTGATATATTTATGTTTATGTGTGTGTATATATGTATATAGGCATATATATATGTATGTGTATATATGTATATAGGCATATATATATATATATATATACATATAAAATTTAATCCTAATAAATTATGGCATTTAAAAGTGAATTGATTGTCTTTTGTCAAGTTTGCCATAACAAGAATCAAAGTTTTAAAAATGTTAGTGGGGAGGATGAGCAAGAAGTAGGGGAAGAGAAGAATATTCCAAGCTGCGAAGCTACTTTTATTTTTTTTAGAGTAATCTAGTTAATGCTCTTTTATAAACTGCCTTTGATACTGTGTTTTGTTTATTCCATACCAGAAAAAGTTAGCGGTATACAGCAAGATGCAGGAGTCTCTGGAAATGACCCTTCCCAGCAAACAAGAGGAGGAGGAGGAGGAGGAGGAGGAGGATGAGGAGGAGGAGGAGGAGAAAGACCAGCCTGCCGAGATGGAGTACCTTAACTCTCGATGTGTCCTTTTCACTTATTTCCAGGGAGACATTGGTTCAGTAGTGGATGAACACTTCTCAAGAGCTTTGGGCCAAGCCAGCAGCTTCCATACAGAATCTGCCATTTCAAAAAACAAGATGGGGCTAACCCCTCTATGGAGAGGTAAGAATTAAAAAATCATATGCTCTCCAGCTCACTGTATTTGTTTCGCAACGGCTCTGACCAGGATCCAGTTGGAAACGTGCCTCTGGAGGACAAATATCCACTTGCTTTTTAATTTTTAAGGACAGCAAGGAATTTCTTTCAGACAAACAGCTGGATCAATTTTGTCACATGTGGAATGCAGGGTTGGAAAGGATGCAGTCACACCCCTTAAATTCTTTATGGAAAGTCATGATGCAACGGGTATGAGTTTATAGTGGCAGGATAAAGCTGCAAAGCACCATTCCTGAAGCCCCGATGGCTTAGTTTGGATTTCTTAATAATAGGCGTGCCTAAAGCAGCTTTTAAGAAATTAACTTATTGCTCATTCCACTAGGTGTTACTGTGGTGACATAACTGAGATCTGAGTCAGGACTTCCCAGGGCAGACATTAAAAAATGTTTTGTCTTCTTGAAGTAGCTTTTTGTCTCTAGTCCCTGCCTCATCTGCTTGTGAATTGGGGGTCCTGGCATTCATTTTGAATTTGATTTTAGGTCCTATCACAGAGATTTCTTGGGTACTAAGTTGGCAAAAATTTGTACATGGCAAGAAATCCTACTTATGATGTGAGCAAAGTGTTAAAACATTGAGGGGAAGACAAGTTACCACACTGAACCCTTTTACAGCAGCCCAAAGATATGTCTGGAATGTTCATTTCCCTCTTTATAAAAATTGAGTATAGGACACCAGAACAAACTATTGCTTGTTGATTTCTTAATGCAAAAAAAGAAGAGAGAAAATCTAGTTAGAATAGTAGATAATATAAGACAAAGGATATGAAATACTTTGTGTTTGTATGTTAGTTATGTAAGTATGGAATTTCTATTGAAATTCAGAAATGCAGACCCTTTTCTGGGGACAGGAAGAATACTAATATTGAGGGTGAGGTGATTAATTTCCTTTCAACTACTAGCATAAGGAAATCTGTGGCTCCTTCAGCCTCAGTGGCCCTGCCTACATCTCTTGCAGATATTCACTTGATTTTTACTATCTCCCTTGGTACTTAGGATAATGGCATGTACATAGCAGGCACTTAATAACTATTTCTTGGATGAATGGATGAGGCAAACCAAACCAAATTTATAACCCTAGTACCATTTAGAATAGGATCAGGATTCAAAATGATCTTGGTAAACTAGAGAGGTAAACTCAGAAGCCATCAAGGGCAGGTAAGAAGTAGAAGAAGGGAAAGGAAATATAAAAGAAAACAAGGCAAGGGAAGACACACTGCAAAAATATAAAAATATAATTGACTCATCAAATTATAGAAGGTTAGAAATCAGAATTATTCTAATGTAGCCCTCTTAGAAGGTTGAAGTGGCTTGCCCAAGATTAAGCAGCTAATTAATATAATAGCTGGGACTAGATACCAGTGCTTTAGAACAAAATTATTTTTTTATTATGAAATTAAGAAATATTATCAAACATGGATATTTTAATATGTGAATAAGAACAGAACAGAAGAATGTATATACAATTATTAACTTCTGTTGCAGAGGCTTTCTTAAAACTGTATATTCAATTTAAAATGGCAGTGACATAGCCACTCTGCTTGTCTGTGTCCCCTTCTGAACTTCCTTTTGCTCTCTTCTGGGTATTTTTAAAAAGTCTCATCGATGTACTTTTCTTTCTTTCCTTTTTTTAAAATCACTATCACTACCCATCAACTCTTCCTCTCCTGAAAAAGAAGCCGCCACTTGTAACAATTAAGTATAGTCCTGAGAAACAAAATTCAACATGGCCAAGTCTGAAAAAATGTAGTTTCATTGTGCATCTCTAGTACATCAAATGCGTGACAAGAGGGATTTGTGTTTTGTTTGTTGTGTGTTTCATATTTTTTCTTGATAAGATCCTACATGGGGGAAGGGGCACTGAAAGATTATGGGGTGAGATGCAGTCAATAACAAAATGAACATGAGTCAGCCCACATTCTTCTTAAAATAGCAAGCACCCTACAGCGGTGTGTGAATAGGAGTATAACATGGAAAAACCCCACAAATCAGTCCTTTCATTCTTTTTAACAGGAGTCTGATTCTGTTCAAAGCATTGTAATTCAGGCAGACATTTTCCAGCTTAAGAGAATTATAGAGAATTTGGATAGGGTTTTCAGAAGAGCCCAAAGATAAGTAAAGCACTGCAAAACAAGACCTTGGAGCATAGAGATCATTTTGTGGGATGAACTGGTTAATGGTCAATTTAAATATCATTCATCAATCCCATTGACATTTTCCTATGCCCTGCAGTCTGTAGAACCAATAATATACCTCTTCGTGGGCTCACTCTTTTAGCACTTTAGCTATGAGACCTTGTGTTATTGTACACACACACACACACACACACACACACACACACACAGCATTGGTAAACAAGATGGGTCAAGCTGATAATCACTGCTAATTCAAGGAACCTCTCTGCAAATTAGGGAAACTTCTCCCCTCTTCTCTTGGTTGATTGGGGACTTCCTGGAAACTTATTCCTCACCTAGAGTTTGCCTTTCCTTTCAAACTCAGGTTGTACTGCTTTTCAAGGGAAGGAAAATGACTGCCCACTTCAATTGTTCCCTCTGACTTGGTACCAAAAAAGCTCACATTTACATTTACTTTGGTTTCCTTCCTTCCTTCCTCTTCCTTCCTTCCTTCCTTCCTTCCTTCCTTCCTTCCTTCCTTCCTTCCTTCCTTCCTTCCTTCCTTCCTTCCTTCCTCCTTCTCTATCTCTGTCCCTGTGTCTCTTTCTCTTGCCCCCAACTCATTAAAACAACCTAACGAACTCTTATTTCCACTGAGTTTGTAATTTTGAACCCCCAGTCAAACTCTAGATTGAATTTACAGTACCTAAATAATTTAGATCACCATTCTTTCTAGGTTGTATGAGTAATCAAATAATGTCAAAACCACTGATCAGTGCATTTTATGATAGGTACATTTTAAAAATTGAAATTGAAAGTAACAAGTAAGATACATCCAAGTTTCTATACATCTAGTTGCTTTCACTGGTAGCCAATAAAGAGATAAGTGGCTTTCTATCAGAGGGAGAAGAGATTATTGGCTCCTGGAAGCGTGATTTTTCCCCAGGGAAAGAAAGGAAAACAGACAGGCACCCTTGATACTGAGTGCATCTCTCTCCTCATCTCAGAATTTTCACACCACAACATCATGTGCTCTACTGAAACAGTATTCTTAAAAATGACCAGTAATATAAATGGCACATCATAGATTTAGAGCTGGTAAGATAAGGTCCACTTTAGCCAACATCTTCATTTTAAAAATGAGCAAACTAGGGCCCAGAGATATTAAATGGCTTACTAAGGATGGAGGTAACAGAGAACCAGGATTCAAGTCTAGATCCAGTGACTCTAAGCTGTCTTTTGGAAATCTTGACCTTGTACCTCTAATTGGTACAAATTAAATGTTAATCATCATCTCAGGTGATATGATGAAGAGAGCACTGGGCCTGGAGTCAAGAACTTTAAATCTGGCCTTAGGCATTAGTTTTATGGCCCTGAGCAAGTCTCTTAACCTCCTTTTGCCTTAATTTCCCTAACTGTAAAATGGTGATGATAACAGCACTCACTTCATAGGGTTTTTATGAGGATCAAATGAGATAATGTTTGTGAAATGTTCAGCATAGATCAGATACTATATAAATGCATATTATCCCCTCCCCTAACCTGCTTAAATTAGCTTCTCCACCTGACTTTCCTATTCTTGCTCTAGTATTTTGCTGATTTCCCAAAATTAAGCCCTGATCGTTATTTTTAACTACTTATATGGTCCAGTGGGAAGTCCTCTCAATCTTGAGTCCAGAGTGTCTTTGAGCCTTTCACCCCCAATACCAAAGTCCTACACTTATTGCTTTTTTGCCTATAGAATGCAATAGCATGTTAATTCTGATCTTCCATATTCACTCTTTCCCATTACACACATTGCCAGGATGATCTTTCTAAAGCAGTTATGATTATGTCACTTCCTTGCTCAAAAAACCTCCAGAAATTTCCTATTGTCTACTGAAATCCCAGACTCTAAATAGGACCTCAACTGCCTTATTAAAATAATAACCACAAAACACCTTGTTAACAAGCATCTGAGTGTTAAAAAGAAAAAAACAAAAGCAAATCTCAATGTTCACTTTTGTTTTTTATATCATCATCCTCACCAAATACATCCCTTTCCTTCCCCTACTTTCCCCTTGAGAGCAGGGGATTTTTGTCTTTTTTTTTTTTTTGCATCCCCAGTGCTTAGCACAGTGCCTGACATTTAGTAGGCACCTAAATAAACATTTATCAGTTGATAACAAATAATTGAAAAAAGTTTAAAAAATACAGTTTAGCAAAGTATGTGAATGTAACACAGTCCCTAACCTGTGTAAAGAAAGATAGGAGGTGTATTTTCTCTTCTCAGGAAACTTGATCCTTATGATTATGAAGTGATCAGTTATTGCTCTTTGGGCTGTTCTTTCCATTCAGATTGTTATCATTGTATATATTAATTTACTGGTTCCGATTATTTCACTTTGCATCTGTTTAGGTCTTTTCATGCTTTTCTGAAGTTTTCATATCCATGGTTTTTTACAATGCAGTGATATTCCATGGATTACACTTTATTTAACCTATTCTTTAAGCCTCGTCTCTCACCTCTTTCTGCTGAATTCTAAATGTAAAACTACTCACTGTGGCTCAATACCTCCTGCAATTTTGCTCACCATTTTCTCTATGTGAAATATCCTTTGCTGGTTCTAGCTCTGCCTCTTGAAATCCTATCTACCCCTATAGTCTCATCTAGGCAACAAGGTGGTAGAATAGATAAGAATGATGGGCCTGGAGTCAGGAAGACCGCAGTTGAAATCTTGACTTTTACTGGCTGCGTGACCTTGGACAAGTCATTTAACCTTTGTCTGACTCAGGTTCCTCAACCACAAAAATGGGGATAATAATAGCACCTACTTCCCAAAGTTGTTATGAAGGT